ATCCCTGATTGGCTGCCCATCACTTGCCCCCCAACCTCTTGCCTCAGCTCTGTGACTGCCCAGAGGCAAAGCCAGCCCTGCTCGGCTGGAGCAGACGGTGTGGCCCAAGGCTAGCCTGCCCAGTCCCTCCCTGCAAAGCATCCTGGGCTGCTAGGGATCAGTCCCTCCAACCCAGGGCCAAGTCACTGTCCCATGTCAGCCCATGCTGGGGGAACAGTATCTTCAACCCGGGCCACTGGGCATCAGCCCATGTGGGGGGATCTCTGTGCCTCAGCGGGGTTCCACAGGCAGGGTCCCCTAAACTCTGTTGCTGGTGTGGACGGGGAATTTCTCTCTCCCACACGCTCAGCATGATCTCGTGCCAGCTTGGCCCCAGTCTTGGAGGGGCTGTCCCCTGTCGTCCTGCCCCTCCCCACCTGCCAGGGCAGGGCTGCGTTGTATACAGGACCACACAGAAGGGGGCAGAGGGGGCAATTACCCATCTGCACCAGCAGCAGGGTTTGGGGGACCCCACCCAGGGCATTGAAACCTCTACTTAGGTGCAGGGATACCCCCCATGTGGGCTAATGTGGGGCAGCAGCTTGACCCCAGACTGGAGGGACTGTTCCCCCTGCCCCCCCACCCTCCGCTCCTGTGGGGGCAGGGCTAAGCCAGCGCTGGACCACACTGAGGAATGGGAGTGGGGAATTCTCCCTCTGCAGTGCTGGCAGGGCTTGGAAAACCCCCAACTGAGGCTTGGAGATCTGGGCTGAAGGGACTTTTCCCCATGCTCCCACCTGCATGTTAGTGACTTGCGCAAGCCTGGGGGAAACCCTCACACACCAGGGATTGGAGCCAGGGCTGTGGAAGGGGGCTCTATTCCCCCACATCCGCCCGCCCCACCAGGCTGACAGCTGCAGTAGGACTAGGGCTGCAAAACAGAGGCTTTGCTGCTTTAGCTCTGTGACAGCCCAGGGCCAGGGCCACGCTGCTCAGCTGGAGCATATAGCGTGGGCTAAGGCTACCCTGCCCACCCTGTGAGGTGGGATTTGCAGGGGAGGTGCAAAGCATCTTGGGTTGCTAGCAGACTGTGAATTAACTTGAGTCGGGAGGGGATGTGGGACAAAAATTCAACAGACCAGTTTAACCTAAATCAGTTCAGTTTTACTACATCCATCCAGGTCTATTTTAAACCTGTTTCAGCCATTTTGAAACTGGTTTATGTGCACTGAACTTCCGTTCTTTTATAGGTTTAAACCAGTTTCTGATCATTTAAAGCAGTTTATGTGTAATGTCTGTGTCTAGCCTTAGTGATTGTATGCCCAGGCAAGAGGGTGAAAAGAATGTTACTCACCCCAGAGTCATAGTGCTATGGTGAGAACATCCATTTCCAAACTGGCACAAGGAACACCATCTTCTGCCCTGCTCTTTCAAGACTTGGGGCAGACTGATGATAATTCTGACTGCCCTGTAAATTTCAGGTGGATGTCAATTCCCGGAGGTGTTATAGTATGTAGTGACTTGTACCCAGATTTGGTCTCAAATCTAGGTTTGAACCCAGATCCAAGATTCACACAAGAAATAAAAAGAGCAAAAATAAAATAAGTGAAAATGAAGCCTACTCACCTAAACCCCTTTGATCTACTTTCAGAGCACCCAGACCCCTGTAATCTAGTTTCAGACAAATGACTCTTGTGTGTAGGAGATGGGTTGATAGCTGCATGTATCAAAACTATCTGTACAAATAGTGAGTACAAGTGAAACATCTTCCTTTATTTTTTCAATTCCATCTTGATGGGTCAGCAGTGGTTGTCTTAAATTATCATTTAGATTTTTAATCTACACTTCTCCTTATCTCTTGAAATGCATAGACCACTGAGATTCTAAGTGTCTGGGAAACTAGTGAAAACTATTAATATGCCTTACATTGAGCTAGCAATCCCCTCTCCACCCTCCCCTCCCCCACCAAGCCATTAAATGCACTTTCGGTGCTTCACAAATTTATGTCCGTGGGAAAACGGCTTAGTCATAATGATTGCATTTGACTCCTGACCTCAGATTCTGGCTATTTGATCAGAATTACCCGCAGGTATATAGAGCATGTGTCCAACTTGATTGTAACACATTTTCTTCCTATGGATCAGAAGCAAGTAGGCAGAGAAATTACCATAGTAGAGAGTGTCGTTAAGCTCTTGGCTCTGACTGCTTCAGAAATACACTCGATGTCAGCCCTCCATGGCAAGGGTTGCTGTATATTAGCATAAACATGCATATTTGCATGTGCCAAGTAAATGTCCATGTATTACCATATGCTGATATGTGTATACTAGTCAGTGCCTTCCTTGGTATTTGTGCAGAGCACAGATTATTCTGGGTCTATCCTGGGAGCTCCTATTGCAAGACCTGAAGTTTTGGTTGTGTTTCATGCCAAATGCTGTGGTGTTATCACTTAATGACATTGTGACTTCGTGTTGTGACACTATATCATTATGTGATGCTGCAACTTCATGCTGTGAAGACACAAATATCAGCTAATGATTATTTCTCTAGAGCAGTTATCACAGCAAAGCATTTTTTCCTTCAGTCTCTTCTTAACGGGTTGTAGCTAATCTTTGCTAGAATTACTAACTGAAAGAAAACGAAGCAAGAAACAAACACTAGTAACACGTCCATGAGGAGGGTATGACTGTTTGCCGTATGTAAGAATCATTAATTTATTGCACCTGGACTGGGTTATTCACATTCAGGCCTCTATTCATGTGTGGTTTAATAAGGCACTGCTTTGTTACTAACGTAAGGAATAGGCTCCATATAGATTCTTTGGTATGTGGATTTGCCTCTGAATAAAGTGGATAGAGTTTGCTACTCACTTGCAGCCCTTCTGCAAGATATCGCCATCGTGGATCTTGTATTTCTCCCACACACTGGAGTCCAGCTGCAGGGCTGACTGTCTAGTTACATTTGAATGTGGTATGTTCTGTTACAGTAGAAACACCACTGTGTCATCTGCTTTACTGATGGATGAAAAGCAGGGAGAAATCTTTCTGGCGAATTGATTCTCAGCTATTAGTCAATAAGAGACCCTGATGACTAAAGAGTATTTTGTCAAAACCATTTAATTATCCTGTGGCAGGGCGACCTAGGGGGTGCCGTGACCTCCCCTAGTGCCCCCTGGCTACCGTGTCAACGCACCCTCACCAATCTTGCCCAGCACGTCTTTGATGTTTAAGTGTTTCAGGGAGGCTGCCGTTTCTATCTGCCTTAACACAGTACCTTGATGTCCAGCGCACTCTAGCATTAGGGCTCCCCGCCCACACTGGGGTCCTCGCTCATGCTCCCCGCCCACACTGGGGCCCTCGCAGCTTCAGCCTTACCTGGCCCCAGACCCTTTTCGTGGGTCTTATGCCCACTGGGCTTCTCCGAATTGGGGCTCAGGCAGCCTTGGCCTTACTTGGCCCCCACACCCACTTCCTCAGGTTGTACACCCCACTGGGGCATTTTGTCTGCACCCACACTGGGCTCCTCCCAATGCTGCCCACTCTGGGCCAGGGTCAGGACACCCCAAAACACAGCACCCTCTCCGATGCCAGGAACCACTCCCCCCCAACACACACTACTGGGGGGGCTCCACTGAGGCCTCCTCCACCCCTACAGCCTCACCCAGTCCTCCAGTCTTAAATCACAACCAAAACAGAAACGCAAAGCCCCTCAGCTACAACATAAAACCTAAGCCAGCCTGGCTATCCTTCATCTGTATCCTTGTCAGGGTTCTCTCCACCCCATATCACCATGCCAATCAATTAAGCCATCTGGCTTCCTTACTAGGCCCACAGAGCTCTGCTTGCGCCAACAGAGCTCCTGCTTCTGAGGCTGCCAGAAAGGAACTAACTCTAGCCTCAGCCTTCTCTGTTTATAAAGGCCAGGCCCTGCCCCCTTCCGGTCAGGTGGCCGATTTGGTTGCCTAAGCAACCCCCACCTGTGCTGCCCTGGTGAGTGGCAGCTGAGCCCATTTTACTGTTACCAGTAGCAGGCACCCTAGTGCCCTGCTACATATCCATATTAAATCACCTTATGCACAGGTGGTTCCTGCTTTTCATAAAAAGAAAGCATACATTTTCATCCCTATCTGAATCTGCCAGATCTGCCAGTCCATAGGGATTTGCAAGCACACAGAATTAGTGGCATGGATAAGGTTTCTAGGTTACACATTGGATTTTTTTATTTTTGTGAGGAAAGAAACCTGGTCATCTACTAAACATATCCCTGCACTTTATGTTTTCTTAGCAAAGAGACACAACTCTCTTAAATATTCTCCAGGTGTGTCACACAACAGGCAGATCTTGGCATAATGTGCTGCTGTCTGTACAAGGGCTTTTTCTGTGATCACAACTCATTTCACCAGAGTGCTATGTTGTTTCAATATTTTTTCATGGATTTCTCTGGTACTTAAAGGAGAGGACCTCAACCTTTGTTATAGGATTCTTATCCCTATTCTACCTGTTCTTTCATTTGCAACAAAAGGACCAACTAGATGGCATTAGATACCAGTGCCAGCTCAGCTATTCACCCAGGCAGTTGTATAGCATGGCATTAGCAACATGGTATTAATCAGTGGCACACTTGTTAGCTCCTTTTGACATCTCTTTGGGCAGGGAGGAGAGTGACAATTACATGGGCTTACAGTGGAGATCATTCTCTGATGCTCCTGATAAAAGTGAAAACGCTTTTTTACCACACTGCTGTGTTTTTAAACTTACCTTCTTCTTGCCTCTGGTGTACTAGCTTTGGAAGAACTACATGGAAAGAGTGTTGTCTGAAATGGAACCAATATAATGGTGTTAATTTGGGACTGAGAATGCTACTGTTAAATCTCTTGGAAGACATAGGAACAACACAATCCAGGGATAATAGCAGAACACTAAGAATGCCTAAGACACTTCTGTGAAGTTTCATAATGACATTCAGTTTTATGAGCAAAAAATAATAAATAGTTCTTTCTCTTTGTTTCCCCTCTTTTCCAGCGAGAGATGAGAATGTGGCCACCTTCCGTGGCTCAGAGTACCTTTGCTACGACCTGTCCCAGAACCCCATCCAGAGCAGCAGTGATGAGATCACCCTCTCCTTCAAGACATGGCAGCGCAACGGGCTCATTCTGCACACGGGCAAGTCGGCAGATTACGTCAACCTGGCTCTGAAAGACGGTGCGGTCTCCTTGGTCATTAACCTGGGGTCTGGGGCCTTCGAGGCCATTGTGGAGCCGGTCAATGGCAAATTCAATGACAACGCGTGGCATGACGTTAAAGTGACACGCAACCTGCGGCAGGTAATGGTGAAAGAGAAAGAACACTGGGGAGGCTGCTCTCTAGTACAGCTGGGCAGGGGAAAATAGACAAGAATAGGAGTATTCAAGAAATGGGTTTTCAGTTGAATATATCAGAGCATCCATACCTATTTCCTGGGTCCCTCTTCATTATTCAAGAGACAACGAAAGGCCATTAGTTAATGGGAACTTAGCCCTGTAGCAGTATCTCCATTTCCACTATTAATTTTCTATTTTCTCCCTAGTTTGATTTAATAATAAAACTTGTGACTTTACTTTCATCTCCCTTTTCTTTTGCTCTTTTTTCCATCCATCCCTTTATTTTATAATTTCAATCTTATCAGTTATATTCTTGTTGCATTTAATTACTGTGGGAATAGAGTTGTTTTTTTTCAGTAGACGATGCTATACTCTCTTCTCTTTCTTCTTTACTTTTTTAAAGATTGATTTAACCATTGCCATGATGCCATACTTCTAATTCTAAAAGTCTTTGTTTCTCTCTTTACTTTTTTGGGTTTGTGTGTGTGTGTGTGCGTGTGTGTGCGCGTGTGCGCACGAGGTATGTGTGCATGTGCGTGTGTGTGTGGGGTTGTTTTCATTTAAAAGCTTTGGATTCAGTTGGAGGGACAGTTTCCATCTCTGTGATACTCTCTCCTTTATTTTTTTCTGTGCTGTGATCCTGCTTTATTTCTTAAGTCTCTGCCTATGAGACATTCTGGTGGCTGTGGGGACTGGATAAATGGAAGGACGAAAGAAAACCTGAAACAAAACTACTTCAGAATGGCTTGATCTGATTCTTGCCATTGTAATTTTGCAACTCTGCCTGTTGCTATCCTAAGCAGCTGACTTCACAGGTGACAACTTCTCTAGACAGCTAGCCTTAAAACACTTAAAACCTCACTCATGAAATATAAATGCATATAAAAACAGATAAAATAAAAATAAATAACCTTGCCTTGAAAGCTGGTGAATATATTATATCTCTAAGGGTGGCCCATCCATTGCATGACAAATTAGGTTTACATTGTGGATAGAAACTGGTGTCTTATTGATTGGTAAATGGTGTGTAAATAGCTTGTAAAGGGACATTTTCAAATCAGAAACAAAGTGATCTGTTTATTGCCTTGTTAATGTGAATGTTAACAGAAACCCTAATTGTATTATTCCAGTTTACACAACTTCACTGGCTCAGAGAGCAGCATTTTGAGAAACATTTGCATTGGCTAAAATGAAAAATGTATATGCAATAACAAACTTTGCTTCAGGGCAAAAACAAAGCAACAGAGATATCTTCACACATTGGCATGCTACTGGGTTATTGTCCATTAAGAGTATTTCACAGCTCCCTTGGAAATATCAGATACTAGAGACAGGAGACCGGACTAACCTAGTCCGGCAATTCTCATGTTTCTACATATACAAGATATTTCTATGTTAACTGGAATATTGTATCTAGTCAGTCCACACTCTGTTCTCAATTACATGGGACTTCAGGGTTATCACTGAAGGCAACATTAGTCTATTTCCACTTGTTTACATGCAGATGTAAATTTAATTTCTTATGCAATGGATGGGTCCTACCAGTCATGTTTCATTCAGATATACTCAATGGTTCAGTAGAGGGGTATACAACAAATGTCTGTGGCTTACCTGGAACAGCCTGAATATAAGACTTTATTTATTTATTTATTTGTTTATTTTTCCATTTTCTTGATGTTTAGATGTTTTCAGAATGGCTGCTCTCTGAATATCTCTGCTTGGTTTATAGGCCATTTTAGTTAATGGCACTTTTCATTTTTCCGCGAAATCAGTTTTCAATGGCAGAGAGTGCCTGGAGCGAAATGCATGTCATGCTCCATGCCAGGGCTAGTTTAGCTGTTGAGGAAGCGAGGGTGGGGGAATCAAAATTATAAATGGAACGTTTTCTTTTTTTTTCTTTTTTTTAAAAACTTTCAGCCAAGAGTGATTT